CAGGCGCGGATTTGCACATGCCTCAGCTCAGCTCGAAATTTATGCCGGCAACACGAAGAAATTGTAACAACATGGCAATTTATTCCAAGGAGCTGCACAGCTAGAGCAGCAGACGGAGCAGCAGCCAGAGCAGCAACAGCAGCTTGATTATCTTTTATTGTCGGTGCTCTAAGCAGGCGGAGCGGGCGACTTGAACTGCCCCAGTGACAAGTCCCTGTGCCAAGGTATTCGCCTGGGAGCTGCATAGCATTATCACAAGACCATTTCCACAGTCGGCTGCATCTACATCTACACAGACACGGTAGTTACTGTGTTTGTCAAGAGAGGGTGGGAGAGGAGGAAGGCGGAGAGAGACAGCTGTTTGCCGCATATATCGCAGCCCAATTCAAGCTTTGTCTTCGCGTTTCTCATTATACTTGCAGGCAATAGAAATAGAATTCCCTTTTTACGAGTCGCCTTTCTCTGCGATTCTCATAAATTCAAGCAGTGCCAACAGATTTTGATAGTTTTATCGAATGGCGTGTGATTGGATGTAGAGAAACGACACTGACATTCAGAGAGCGAGAGGGAGATAGAGAGAGAGAATTACAGCAAGACAATAACAATTTAATATTTCTATGTATATGCAGGTCTGTATCTAGTTAGCATAAGCAGGCAATAACAATTCACTTTGCTATATCTGTAATCATTTTATGTATGATGGCAATAATCCCGAGTCTATTCTAATTAAGTTGAGGCCACAGCACAGCAAATCATTTGCTGGAGCACAAACCAAACACAACAGCAATTTAAGCACCAGGTTTTTCACTGATTAGATTGAGGACAATGCCGAAAACCAACAACTTCGTTGTCACAGCAACAGCAATACAAACAGCAGCAACAACAACAACAACGGTGCTGCAGCAGCACTAATAGAAACGGCAGGCTACAAACCAAAATCCAAAACGAAAGCAAGGAGCATTCATCTTTGCCAATTTGCATTTGCATTTGCAGTGTCAGCCACAGTCACAGCCATAGCCAAAATGCCATATAAGCCGCTCACACACACACACACACACCTAGCTCTTGGCATAGTCACATGTAGACATGGGCTTTGGGCACACTCTGCTAATTAGCAGGAGGCTGGCGCGTCGAATGTGGGCTAACAATTGGTAGTGGGGCAAAGGCAAATATTGTCAGGGCAACACGCTCCAAAATGGAGCCACGAATGCACTTTGCCATCAAATTAATTAAGACAAGAATGCGAACGAGCCAAAAACCAAAACCAAAGCCAAAGCCAAAGCTGAAGCCAAGGTAGGGCGCGAGCTGCGCTAAGCTATACATAGGGCCAACGAGGCAAAAAACGGGGTTAGGCCAAAGACGAGCTGTTTGTCGTCTAATTAGGGATTATGAGGCGCGTTGACAAGCCCGGCTAATTGAGAACTAAAACCTCTTCGAAAGCGAGCAACACACAGCAGAGAGCAGAGTGGACCACACACGTCACAGCCAAACATTTTCGGAGGACGACAAACGGCAACAAATTGACCTGCAACATGTTGAACAACGGCCATAAAGACCAGCAACAGTAAGAGCAACGGCAACAGCAACAGTCGAGGCAACAACCACTTGAAACGCCGAAAAAGAAACATGTTGATTGCTCTATCCGAAAAATTAATTGGACCACACACCACGAAGCAACAGCACCACCATACAAGCACCACTCAATGCCTGATGCTTGATGCTGAAAAGAGACGGCACAGGGCACGCGCAACCGCCTCTTATTAGTGTGAGCGAGAGGGAGAGGGAGAGGGAGAGGGAGAGTGCTCGCCAACTACTACTCGTAGACATCGCATCGTGGCTCTGGTGGGTGTCATATATATTTTAATGACCGCTACGGCTCTGGGATTGCCCTCGGTTTCCAACTGCGGGCCACATCGATGGATTTTTGATAACCGCAAGCGACCGAATGAAATGGCAAAAATGAGAAATACAAAAAGCTGAAAAAGAAGAAAAGGAAACCAAAAATAAAAACTGGCGCGAATGACTGCATAAATCCATGTGAAATGCAGCCAAGTGACTCCCTGACTGACTGACTGAGTGACTGCCCTGACTAGCTGTCGTCTGTGGTCGGACGGGTCTATCTTAAAGATTTGCCTGGAGCCCGCAGAGTGAATGGCAGCGGCCCTGACTCCAGATCGGCGAAGCCAAGCCAAGTCGTCGTTAGGCGGCGCAAATGCAAATGCAAATGACTCCTTCGCATATGTAGGTCTCCTGGGTGTCACTCTTAACCCTATTTCCAGAGCGGCTCATAACGTTGACAATGGGTGGCCAGACGAAAGGAGCGCAGACTGCGACTCTGGCTGTCTGCCTAATTAGGCAGCTGCGTTATTTATTTGGAATTGTGAAACCTGAATTCAATTTATATATATGATATATATATGTATATGTACCTCTATATACATATATATACGATCGCCGTTGGCGTTGGCATGCAACAAGCTGCGTCTGCTGCACGCATGTGCAGAAACACGTGTAAGCCGGCCTTAAATGTAAATAGAATACATAGCCAACAGGATACTCTGGCTGCCGTCCGAGCTATGCTATGCGTTATTGTTGACTGGCCTCGCCTGTGTGACTAGCAAACGAATACGCCCACTTTGCTAGCGATTGGCGGTTACGCCCCCAAGCATAGTCGCCGTCGCAGTCGCAGTCCAAGTCCAAGTTGGAGTCGCATCGTAAACTCAGCACGTAAATTATGATCAGCCAACGGCGTTGAATATTAATTGCACCGCACCAAAATGAACAAAAGCCGACACAGCAGCAACAGCAGCAGCAGCAGCAGCAACAGCAACAGCAGCAACAGCAGCATCCAAGAGGCGCATTCCAGCTAGATGATGCCAGCTTCCATACTTGGTGGCCAGCTCATGTGAGTGCGCGCGCATCTGTAACGGGGCCTTTGATAAGCGTCGATAATTATTGAGCAGCCGCTGGAGCCGGCTGCAGCTCTTTGCGCAGTTAGAGCTTTAATTAATTTCCAGGAAGTTTCCGATCGCCCAGCATAGGCTCTGAGTGCGACGGCGGCTGGAACTGTCTGTATGTCTCTCTGTCGGGCTGGCTGGCTGGCTGTTGGGGCTTTCGTTTTCGCCGATTGTCGTCGGTCATCACTCAGCTGGAGCCGCCTGGCAGCGCCTCCTATGTCAGTGTCAACACAGCGACGACCCCCGTTGCTCATTTCTGTCTTGCTGTTTGATGAATTGTCCCTGGCCAACTGTATGCAACAGCAGCAGCATCCACACTCGAAGACAAGGTGTGGTCCAAGTCCTTCGAGCACTGTCATAGCTGTTTGTGTCTAACTTGAAATATTTGCTACGGATGCGTTCCTTAACTGAGTGCCAATGAGCAGCAGCAGCAACAGCAGTAACAGCAGCAGCAGCAGCAGCAACAAATGCCAAATTGTGTCTTGAATTGTTGACTCAACAGCAGCAACAACAGCAACAACAATGTGATTTGAGACCTGGTATTTTGTCCTGCGGCCACCAGAGCAGAGAATGCAGCAAAAACGAAACCTAAAAATACATATACATGTATTTTATATATGTATATAGAACAGACCAACAAAAACATAAGAACCTGAAACTGTTTGCTGTTTCTGTGTATTTATCATGGCCGACAAAGCGGCGCAAATCTTTCAGAAACAAAATCACAAGGCTATCAAGAGCTACCAGCCAACAGCAGCAGCAGCAGCAGCAACAACTCTGGCAACCGGGCAAACAATAATAAAAATGCCAACCACAGTTGGTGGCTAAAACAAAGCAAAAGTCTACAGAAGTTGTCCAAAGAAACGGCAAAAATCGTAAAGCCCGGAAGCGGGTTGAAAAAAGTTCAGTTTATTGAATTCTTGTTTCGATCTGAGAAACAGTTGGCGCACACAATCTCTATACGACTAGAACTATTGCAGGCACAGTGCTAGCTAAAAGTTCACGCACACTCAAATCTCAGCTCTATTTGCCATTTATTGAGAGTTTTATATAAACATATTTCTGTTTTCTTTTCATTGAACTGCCTTGGCCGCATACTCTTGGCAGTCAGTGTGCAGCTCACAATCTTGAGGTAAACACCATTTTGAGTAATTAGGCACGATTTTAAGAATAATTACCACCTGGTCGCCGGGCCCACATGTTGCGGCTACAAATTGCCGCCGTTTTGCCTGCTAAACTGATTTTCATTTTGATTTTCATTCTGTGTTGTTGTTGTTGTTTTTGATCGTATTTTGGGTTTTTAAAACAGTTTTAATCGCATAGGCCTCGAGCGTACCAGTTCGGAAGCGAATTATGCGGCAAATAATAAATAATTTGAGCTCATAAAATGCAATAAAAAGCCGCTCACAGCGCCGCGATTTATTTCACAAGATAATTTCAAACTAATTTGGTAGCATTTAGCCGGAGAATTATCGCCCGACCAACACTCGGCCAAATGGCGCTGCGGGAGCCACAGCTGACAAATGGCATTGAGAACTGCATAAATTGTTCGCGCTGTGCCATGTGCCACGCCCAGTTCGAATCAGTCAAACGAGCATGACAAATAAAATATGCAAAAACTAGAATAAACTATGAATATATAATATGCTAGGAAATATGTCCGCAAAGCCAGACGAAGTTCCTCAAGAGCTTCGCAGAGATAGGGCAATATTTCAGATATAAGACTAATTAGTTATACAGGGACCTTGACCAATCGTGCATCTGACTTATGTGCTGTAATCCAGCTGCATTTGACATTGGGCTACGCCCTTTTTAGTCGAGCTACGCCCAACTGTCAATCTGTGAAAATTATATCTTGCAACTGTTATGACAACTTCTATGAGAACTATTGCAGATGGAAGACTTTTTACATAACATGTAAGGAAATGCATTGATTTCCAAATGTGATATGAAAAGGAAATGATATAAATAGTCCATTCGTATAAGAAATCCTTTGCAGTTCTACTCCGAGCTTCAGTGAGTCAGGAAGTAATCTCTGGAAATATGCTGTTTGAGTACTTGCGGCCGCCATCGCTGGGTGACTTGCTGCCATCTCGGGATGCATTCAAGTATCTGGAGAGGGGCATGCGATTTGTTGGCTGGATGCCGCCATCGAGGGACCATCCCAGTTACTGGAAATACTGGGTCTATGCGTTCTTAGTAACGGGCTTATCTGGCGCCTATTTGCCCTTTGGCTTCTTCATCAGCTACTTCGTCAACTTTAGGGGCTTCACGCCTGGAGATTTTCTAACATCTATACAGGTTTCATTCAATTCGGCTTGCCTGGGAGTAAAGATCGCCATTATCCTACCGAATCTGTGGCGCTTCGAGAAGATAAAGAACCTACTCGATATATTGGATAGGCCGTGCTTCCAGGAGGGAGCCGGCGAAGACATACATCGCTGCGTCGCGCGCTGTAATTTCATCTATATGGTCTATCAGATAGCGTACGCCTCATACACCGTGCTGACCTGCATGAGCTCCTTTCTAACCGGGTCTACCCCTTGGGGAATCTACATTCCGTTCTTGGACTATCGTTCGAGTACGCAAGCCTTTTGGTTGGCAGCTTGCATGGAATCTGTCATGGGAGCCGCCGCCGTCAGCATGGATCAATTCATAGACGTCTATGCGGTAATCTTCGGCATCGTTTTAAGAAATCATCTGAAACTTCTGATTAGGCGCGTTGAGCGATTGCGCAAGAACCAGAGCGAAAGCGACGATGAGAACTACGCGAAGCTGGTCAACTGCATCAAAGATCACAAGAATATTCTGGAGTAAGTGGAGCAGAATTCTACTGAAGATTAGAAATAAATTCGAAATGCTCACAGGTTTTCGGAAGTTAATCGACCAATTGTAACGGGCCCCATATTTGCTCAGTTTCTAGTGATTGGCTTGTGCCTGGGTCTCGGGATGGTTAATCTACTGTTCTTTTCCACCATCTGGACGGGCCTGGCCACGTCGGTCTTCATTATGGTCTTGATGATCCAAACATTTCCCTTTTGTTTCATCAGCGAGCTGATTGCAGACGATTGCATGGATCTGACTCACGCCATATTTCATTCGGATTGGGCAAGCGCGAGCAAGCGCTATAAGGTGACTCTTGCATTCTTTCTGCATCAGACTCAGCAGCCGATTGCCTTCGTTGCCGGCGGTATCTTTCCGATCTGCATGAGAACCAACATTGAGGTGAGGGCAACTAAATCAAGAGCTCCGATAAGTATGATAGCGATTTCCCCTTACAGATGGCCAAGTTGGCATTCACAGTGGTAACTGTAGTCAAGCAAATGAATATTGTCGAGAAACTAAACTGAAAACAATTTTCCGAAATTATATGCACGTTGAATTGCACGTAGGAATGCTCTAAACACCTGTAGAAACACGGCACAGCAATCGAAATGAATAAAATATGTTTTAGCTGGAAAATTTACTGCCAAACATTTCATATGAGCAGGAATCGTTGCCAAGCTTAGCTGGAAACAATGCAAAGACGATCCCTAATCGCGTATTTGCTGTTTGCCGTTTGTTGTTGCTGTTGCTGTTGCTGTTTGCTGTGGAATCGATGGCCTTTAAATCTCTTCGACAATAGAATTGCTTTGATGCTTGTTGTTGTCTTTGATCTTTTGAGTGCTGCCGGGCATTTCGAATGACGCATGGCCATGGGTTTTGCATTGAACAGCAGCAGCTGGGCTGACTTCGCCAGTCGGGCTATTCCGCAGGGAATTGCTCTGCTCACTGGATATTGCGTATACGCAGAGGATGCCAAGTGCTAAGCCTCTCAGAGCTGCAACAACTATACAGCTTTCAGTTGGAAATAAGTGTTGCTTGTTAAATGACATCGTTTTTCATTTGTACAGGAGGAGGCACTGAGGAGCCTGCCTGTGGAAGGCCGACTCATGTGCCAGCCGAGAAGCTGAGTAAAAGCAGTACAGGAAATTGAATGTTAAGACCGACACGTACAAAATAAATGCGGTATTTGGTACAAGCTCACACACTGAGGCACTGAAGCACTGATTGTGGGTTACAGATACAGATATGGACACAGAACACACACACACACACATACACATACACATGAAGATGCTGCATAAATCTATCTTTTAGATTTATGGCGCACCAGAGCAACGTTAATAGGCAAATGAGAGAGAGAATGAGAATGTGTGTGTCTGTGCTTAGGCCAATGGAATGGCATAGAGAGTGGTTTACGTATGGCCAACTTGTGAAATGGTAATAAAACTTTGTATGCGCATTTATAGCTGTTTTATGCCTGTGACCAGGTCTGTCTTCGAAATGAATTATGAAATATTTTGGCAATGCTAAATGTGAAACGAGTTAGGCAACTCTCGCCGGCTGGCATTAATCATGGTCGAGTCGGTAAAAGGACATGGCTAGAGCTATCTGTACATAGATAAATAAATAACCGCAGCGCAGAAAAAGAAAACCTGTAACCAGGGCCATAAAATTGAGTTATTAAAATCAACAACGACAGGTGCGGACTCCAGCCGAGATTGAGAGACACAGAGAGAAACAGGGAGAGCGAGAGCATGAGGGGGAGCAAGATTGGGCAAAGGTTAACAGCAATCAGTGAGTGCTTTTCTCTCTGGCGAATGCAGGTCAACTGCGGACAGTTTGTGTCCAACAAATATTACCAATGTTTACATACGTGGCACAAAAGCGTGCCAAGTGAACCAACAACAGCAGCGACTGGGAATTTGTTAACTGGCGTGCGGGAGAGCGCGAAAATGCAACAGCCAAACAATTACAGCTGCCAGCTGAGCGTTGCTCCAATTAAGAATGCGCATCAGGGAGGTGGCGGAGGCGAAGGCGGCGGCACTTGGCCTGGCCCAAACCAACCAACCAACCAACCAACCCAACAGCCAAGTCGTCTGTTTTGGCTCAGTCAGGCATCGCTCTAGCAGTCGCTTGTTAGTTGAATATTTGCTGCACAAGCGTTGAGAAAGCGCGATAACATTTTAACACACTCTCACAGCCACGCAGCCATGTTTACACATGGCCAGGCCAGGCCAAGCTGCCAAGCTGCCAGGCTGCTGAGTTCTCATATGCTTCTCATGCACTAAAGGTTTTTTATCAACAACAACAACAACAACTACAAGAGGAAGAACAACGACTACGAAAGCAGCAGCAGTTGGCAGCTGGCTGCCGAAAGCACAATATGACCCTTTGCTCTGCACTATTGGGATAAGATATACGAAAATGAAATTTCAGTTCATTTTGGGCAGACCGATAAAGCCCTTAAGTGCTGTTGCTGATAGCACTCGAGGCTGTTAGTGAAAATTGGCCACTCTTAAGCCACTTCACAGCAACTAGCTGCAAAATCAATTGGTCAGCCATATACCATATAACATATACCATATGCCATATGCACCATATTGAGCTGAAGCCCTTAGCAGATCTAGTCAACCAGCGCATCCGTATGGCAGTGCATATGGAAGCATATGGGATTGACCCATTTTCAACATTTCACAGGGCCGCATTGCCAATAAATTAGCATGTAAGAGCAGACCGGTAAAACACAAGAAAACCAACATTCCGAATATGTATATGGAAAAAAGAGGGGAATCATCATCAGCATGTATAAGCAAAAAGTGTGCTTGTGTCTAGTGAAAGCCCTCGAAGAGACCAGTTGAATGTCATCCTAAGAGTAGGCTACACTTTTTGTGCACATGTCTGGCAGACCGAGTGTGCTCTTAAGAAATACTTTTAAATATTAGAAATAAAATTTACGTGCTTTCGAAAGTTTTTGCAGTGCTGTAGCGACAGAGCGACAAAGACCAACAATTAATAAGAAATCGATTGCGTAGCATATCGTAGCACATCCTGCCGAAAATCCACTCTGCATGCGTACAAATAATACAGGGGATACAGAAAACAGATGAGTTGAATTTTTATTAAATTACTATTAGTTATTATTAGTTTTTGTGTAACTTATGCAAGTTGAATTCTAACGAAAAAAGAACAAAGAAGGTACTAAAGGCCATGCAGATTTTATTTAGTACGTCTTCATTATATAATATTCATGATTATTGTAGAAAATATTTAGGGTTCATTGATGTGTTGAGCGATCCAGGTTAGAAAGTATGAAACCCGAGTAAAAACAGAGGGATACTTTGGGTCGCAAGGGCCAAATCCAAACGATACGATACCGATAACGGTACTAGAGCCATCAGGGTTTCTTTCTGCTAATGGACCACCAGAGTCTCCTTTGCATGTCGTTGTTTCACCAGACGCGGCACATAGCCAATGTGAAAGAAACTTCATATTAGTAAAACGCTTGCATACCTCATTTGATAAAGTTTTAACGTTCGCATATTGCAAATGCTCAGTTGTTACGAAATCTACAAATATTGAAATGTTATTTATGATATCTATTGATTATTGATTTTAATACATACCCTTAACTGCGCCCCAACCGGAGACAATAACACTTTTGTCGACATAAAGGTTATTGGGTTCTGGCAATTTAGCTGGTTGAATATACTGGTTGAATTCCAGATCCTTTGGTAGTTTAATTAAACCAATATCACTGTTCCCTGTGTACCGATCCCACTCTTTATGAATCACGTAGCTTCCAGCTTCCACGATCACAATTTGTTGTCCAATTTCTGTGCTATTACTTTTATCCACTGCTCCAAGGTAAATTTTTAACCTTTTGCTTTTTTCGAATTGGAAAGAAATAAGAAGTGTAATAAAGGTAAATTCATATACTTATTCAGCATTTACTTACTTTGTATTGCCTTCCAAGCAATGAGCTGCTGTAAGAATTGTCCTCTTACCAATTATAGTTCCACCGCAAGTTGCTTTCCATTGTTTATTTATTTCGATATCATAAAAGACTTGATAAGGAAATTGTTTGGGTCTTGCATTTTCCCCATTGATAATCCGTTCCACTTGGCTGGGCTTAGATTCCACATGACACAGACAGAAAAGCACCGCCACGAGGAGCAAATGCCATCTATGATGAAGACTTTCCATGGTGAAATGTAAAAGTTTTACTGAGAATGCTACGAATTCGTGGAACTTAAATAGCAAAAATTCTTGACAGGTGCAATACATCATGATAAGACCTCTGACAGGCAATTAATGATTTATCTGTAATAATAAATAATAACTGTGCAACAATGTTGTAAGTAACAAAATATCAATTTCATTAAGATAACGTTTTAAAACTTCTATATAGTTTAATTTGTGCTCTGCATTTTTTGTGATAAATTTTAAGTAACTCTAAATGAATTTGATATTCGCACATTGGTTACATAGAATCTGAAGGGCTCACTACACTCACTACCTTGTAAAGGATGGCCGACTACAAAATCCACTGAACACTATGAAGAGACACACTAAATGTACTTTAGAACTTGAATTTAGCATAAAATATACCAATATTATTTGTTTTAGCTGGTTGTCTTTATTTGCAATCTGCTCTTGGGCCAATCAGTATTTTTTTTGCCTTCACATATAAACTCAGTGACTAGAGGTAGGGATAGATTAGGGCTTAGTCGCAGCGATGTCGATAGTCTAGTGGGTAGTATCTTTCAAGGCGGTGCATGTTATTGTTTATTTAGGTTTTAGTGAGTTAAAAGTATATAAAGGAAGGAAATCCGCTGAAATGGAACGAGATCAAATTTGATAGTTCTATTCGCTGTTCCTGTTGCTGCTATATTATATTTATCGTT